TTTTCCCCCTAAGGTGTATGTGACACTTGAGGGAGGCGCTGCTGGTGCCATTGCTTCCCTGCTAGTCTCGCTCCCACCAGCAACTTACTTAGGCCCTTTGTGCTTCAGTTTGCCTCTCTGCAAAATGGGCATATTACCCACCTCCCAGAGTTGCGGTGTTGATGAAATAAGATTACTTAACACCGAGCATCTGGCATCGGCCTCAGGAGACACTCCACAAATTAATTTCTTTCATTTCCCTTAAGTAACAAAATATTTAGTTAGACCCCCATCCTGGACTGAAAGTTGCACACGAGCCAGGAGGGAGGCCTGACACCCTAAGAACAGAGAACCTCGCCTCCCACCCGCCGAGGGTGCAGACTCCAGAGTCCCAGAAAGCAGGCCCTGTAGTGTTCGTGCGGAGCTCGGGGACCCCGGCTCTGCTGGCTCGCAGACTCACGGGAGACCGAGTTCCTTGCCATTGGCGGACTGAGGTTCTGGTGCCTTCTGTCCAGTTAGGACAGCACAGCCAGAGCCCAGCCCCGGTGTGGGCATCCCCTCGGTACCTCCGTACTTGGTCCACAGGCACGTGTCACTGTTGTGCGTCCCCTGTGTTTCCGGAGCCTCTGTAAGAACAAGGTGCCCGGTGAGCTAGCGTGGGCTGCTTGGGACAGTACAGTGTGTGACCTACAGGGGCTACCCTGTCGGGGGAGGCAGAGTGGGTCACGGTCGAGAACACAGTGGTGACACCTTTCCAGTGAGAAGCAGCTGGTGTATGTGTGACAGGGGACATTTGAGCCCAGGGGCTCTGCCGGCCGTCAGGAGACGCTTCTGACGATCCTCAAGTTGAGGGTTCCATGCGACCGCTCTCACTGGGGGTGCCCATCGCGATCCTGACCCGGCGCCCCAGCTGCACCTCAGCCCCGCTGAGCCCAGCTGTGCAGACGTGGAGCCTGGGCACGGGCACGCTTGCAGGCTCTGCCAGTGATGCCGATGCACACGTCCAGTTAGAGTTTGCAGCAAGAGCGTGATCTGGGGGATCTGGGAGCCCTGAACCCTGGGGATACTGTGTTACGCTTCCCTTCACTCGGATCTCGTGTGTGCACCCGGAAAATAGAGATATACTTTGTTCACAGAGATGTGGTTCAGAGAGGGTAAGTGACGGCCCCATGGGAGCTTCGGAAGGTTGGGAGCGCCGGGTCCAGAAACGTGCTCGCACGTGCCGTGGGACTCGTGGGTCCAGGTGTGTGGCACGCATGGCTTGCAGGGACTGCAGCGTTTGGTCTGGACTGAACTCATGCTGGTTCACGGCCTTTCCTGGGTTCGGTAACCTCACAGCCAGTCGCTTCAGCTGTCAGGAGTTCATTCTTACCCGTCTACAAGCGAGGGGGACTGTCTGCACGCCAGTCACCAGGTCGGCGCCTGCCCCGTGCCGGGGCTGGTCTTGCTGTGTGCTCCCTGACACTGGCCGCCCTCCATCTTTACCAGCACCCGTGCTGAAGGAGGAAAAGACAACCCGCGTTTACCTGTGGGCGCCCTGGGGAAAACCTGAAAACTTGGAGCTCCTCCATCTTTGAAGATCACTTCTTGGCCACTGGTGTGCAGGCTGCAGTCCAGGGGCACCAGGAAGGAGCCAGGAGCAGGAAAAGGGGCGTCCCTCCGGGGGCTCCCAGGGCTCCCTCCCGAGGGTGGAGAAGCTGAGCTCCAGTCGGACCTCTCACTGTGTGCAGTGGTAGCTCAGAAGCGGTGGGTGCATCCAGATAGAGCCTTCTTGAGGGAGGCAGGCAGGACTGTGTGGCTGGAGTACTTTCGTGAGGAGGACATTGAACAAACTCTGATATAAAGAAGCGTTTGCATTCAGTGATGAAACTCCTTTCCCTGGAGAGAAGATGCTCCCATAATTGGAAACTTGGAGCCCTTCCAAAGCCAGAGAGCGAAAACTGCCTCTGTTTATTGCTCCTGCCTGCTGAAGAGCAAGGAAGGTGGGGATCCCCGAGGTAGAGGAAGGTAGACGCATTTTGCTACAGGTGATCCTCTGCCATTGTGTGTTTTCCTGGTCTTGGGTGGGATATTCATGCTAAGCAGACCCCTGGTATGAACCTAGCAGGAATCAGGTCATCCCGCCCTGACTGAAGACATGAAGGACGGCTTGCTTCAAGAAAGATGGGGACCGAGAGGAACGTGTCCTACTTTGGGGACCAGATTATAATACAGCCCAGTCTCTTGCCAGTCCGGTGCCGCTTCTCTTCCGCATGTGGAGCCCTCGTGGCCGGACTGCGTGCTGTCTTACAGCTCAGCTCCCAGGACTCTTCCTTCTGCCCCAGGGAATCTGGCCACGGAGCCGCACACACCACTTTGCTTCCCGTCTCGAAGCCTTTGTCGTCTCTCCGTGAAGTCCTTGGAAACCCAGCCCCGTGCGCACTTCCCTCAAGAAGCCTTTTCTGACCCCTTTATTCACATAAACTCTGTTCTTTCTAAACCCCCTTACAGCACTCGAGGTATATCGCACATAATCTGATATTTAATTTTTCTCAGCCTTATTTTCTTGAGTAGAGTGAAGGTTACTTGAAGGCAGAAAGAATGTTGGACTGTCTTCATTCTTTCTGTCACACTCGGACAGAGTTGGGTGCATCGTGCCTTCTCAGCACCTTTATTTTTATCGTTTTTTAATTTTTTTTAAATTTATTTTTGAGACAGAGAGAGACAGAGTACAAGTGGGGGAGGGGCAGAGAGAAGGAAACAGAATCAGAAGCAGGCTCCAGGCTCTGAGCTGTCAGCACAGAACCTGATGCAGGGCTCGAACCCACGAACCATGAGATCATGACCTGAGCCAAAGTTGGACACTCAACCGACTGAGCCACCCAGGCGCCCCCTTTCTATCATTTTTTTGAAACCTCCTGCCATGTGCCAGCCATTGTTAAGGGCCCTAGAGGACACTTGCTGGCTTCTAGACATCTGTCCACTTCGCAGCATGGAGGCATGATTAGGATTTCGCCAGAGCTATCGAATCCAGTGAGCAGGACCTTTGAATGGGTAGCATTGGCCCAGGCAGTAGATGTGCAGGAAGGCCGGAAAGCACTAGGTGGTAGATTTTCAAAACTGTAGGGATTTGGAAAAGTATTTGAGCTAATAAATATGCATCTGAAGTTTAAGGTGTCCTTACGTATTTAAATGAAATGGTCTTTTTTTTATTTGAGAGAGAGAGAGTGCACGTGCATGTGCACGCACGTGAGCTGGGAAGGGGCAGAGGGAGACAGGGAGACCGAGAGAATCCCAAGCAGGCTCCACGCTCAGCCTGATGCAGGGCCTGATCCCACGACCCTGGGATCGTGACCTGAGCCAAAATCAAGAGTTGGACACTGAACTGACTGGACCACCAAGCACCCTATAAATGAAATCTTTCTGATTCCTCTAGATTCAGACAAAGAGGATCACACCCACGTGTTTCAGGTCCTTCCATTACCACCTCGCATCCCCTACAGTCCTGCCCGCTGGGGGCACCAGGCCTGTCTCGCCTCAGGAGCACCTGGGAAGACTCGGAGAGGTCAGAGCGCTTTCCCACGGTCAGATACCTGCTTCGTTGGAAAATGAGCCGGGGCCCATTTTGCCCTTTCATAGCCACCTCCTCCAACCCTGATTTCGTGAAATGAGGAAAACCGGTCAGGTGCCCTAGTGATACTCGTTTCATGCACTGTCTTGTTGAAAATATGAGTATATCACATTTATTGAGCCTTAACTAGGAACGTTGCAACCTGCTCAGCACCTTCTATGCATGAACACCCGTACCGCTGTCCTCATAAGAGTCCTGTGACAGGGCTGCCGTTCTGGTCCTGCCTCGCAGATAGCAGAAGCCGCAGCACACGCCAGCTGAGTGACCTAGGCAGAGCCACACACGGCTGGCCTCTGCACCTGAGGTCCTTGCGCTCCGGGACCTGTGCTTCTGACCGCTCCCTTCGTCACACAGGAGGCTTCAGCGGGAACAAAGGTCCTGTGAGCAGTTGTTTGGGAAAAACTGCACGGACTCCCCTGGGAAAGGGCAGTGCATAGTAGCGTGAAGGCTCTGAGAAGTCCTGCGGGGTGGGGTGCAGTGGGTGGGAATTTCGCCCCCGAGTTTCCCACATGAGTTTGGTGAAGGAACTTTTATTGCCCAACATGTGGTTTTTAGTTGACACTGTAGAAGATCCCGCCACAGTGGGGGGAGATTTGGAGACTGGGAATTAGAAATTGGGGTGAAGAAGAGAGTCTTCAGGACAAAATCTACAGTGGAGGAGGTAAAAAAAAAAAAAAAAAAAGTCTCATTTGAGCATGGATTCAGCTTCTTGCTCTTCTTGGCCATGCATCCTTTTGGGGTCCCACTTGCCCTGTCTGTAAAATGCGACCATTGTGAGGAAAAGTGTGATTGTATGTGCAAAACTGCTTGGTAAATGATGAAACTCAAGGTTTTTTTTTTTTTTTTTTTTTTTTTTTTTAATGTTTTATTTATTTCTAGGAGAGAGAGAGAGAGACAGCGTGAGCAGGGGAGGGTCAGAGAGAGGGAGTCACAGACTGAAACAGGCTCCAGGCTCTGAGCTGGCAGTCAGCACAGAGCCCGATGCGGGGCTCGAACCCACGAACCGTGAGATCATGACCTGAGCTGAAGTTGGACGCTTAACTGACTGAGCCACCCAGGCGCCCCTCAAGGTTGTTGTTTTTAATTGTCATTTACCAGCTCACTCGTGTCCTGGTGCCTAGCTCAGTACCTGCCACCTGTTTGAAGGACAATTAACAGTTATTGGACGAGTGAGTGCATTTTGCCTTGTGTCCTGTAACTGGTATGTTACAACTGAAACATTTTCTTCTTCCCATTTTATTGAAATCTAATGGACATACAGTGAAACTTCTTATAAAATGGTACGTTTCCCCTTGAAATTTCCTTCTAAATTGTGTTTTTGCTGGTTTTTGTGTTTGGGGAGTTTAAGAACTTCCCTCTGTTGGAAAATCAGGAACCACATTTCTCTCATTCACTTTGTCACACCCGAGGCTGGCCCGCGACAGCAGTTTATTTTGTTTTTTTGACATGTCTCTGGCAGTGAGAGATTTTTGGACAGTTCCAAAATGGTAAATTTCAATCAACAGTGTGCGTGTGTGGGTTTTGTTGTTGTTGTTGGATTTTTTTTTTTAACACTGCTCGTTCCCTCAGATGTGCCCATCTGCGAGTGTGTTTTTTAAAGGAAGTTCTCCTGTATCACACTCCCAGTGTAATTCCTGCCCGTGTTTCCTCCTCGAGGACTGGCAGGGAGAGAGATGCGCTGCAGTTTTGCATCCCAGCGCGGTTCTTCCCGCTGGAGAGAGAGAGGGTGGAGACGATTCTTTACCTGCTTCAAATAAGCCCTTTGCTTTCAGCGCCTGGCCAGAAGAGACAGATGTGTGTTCAAGGTCATTCCGTAGGGAAGATGTTGCACAATGATCTATAAATTAAAAAGAAGAGAGAGGCGATCCGATCAGCATTTAGATCGCGGTGGCTGGCCTGTAATTCCTCCAGAGACTGTGGTTGGCCGGCAGCCTGCTGGGAGAGGAAGGGGTGGGTGGAGGGGAGCTGGCGTTCCATTCCCCCGCAGTCTGTGGGCCTAACCCCCCACCCGCACTTCAGGGTGGCACAGAACCCCGGCCCGAGTCTCTTGGCCGTGGTGATTGGTTCAGGGGCACATCTGCTTTTGAAGAGTCTTCCGGGGCCCTTGGGCAGGATCGTTAGGAAAGATGCGTTTGGCTTTTTTTTCTGGGATCGAGAGCTGTCAGGACCAAGAGAGCCGCAAGCCGTTGACAGCCAGCATGTGGGGACAGAGTGTCTGATAATGAAGCCAACAGAGAGGGGAGCAGAGTTCAGTGGTGGCCAAAGACCCGGGTTTTCCTGGCGTCATTGAGCTGCTGCTTTAGGCACTGAGCTGCTTCAGGCGGGCTTATTCAGGAGCCGTATGCGTGCGTGCGTGTGTGTTTGCGCGCGCGCGTGTGTGTTCACTACATGAACAATAAATTCCATTTTTCTCTGTTAGTATCTTTCACCACTGAGAGAATCCCAAATAAAACAAACTGTGCAAAATAAAAAGCAGACTAAAACTTGTATCACTTTTCCCTCCAGAGGAGGTGACCCTCCCTCCCATCTTCAGAATTGCCAGACCACATTCACAGCTTTGTATGCCATCTGCCTGTCTGACTGGAGACTGTCTGGCCCACTGTCAGGGACCAAATCGTGCCCCCCCCTCCCCATTCATAGGTTGAAGCCTCAACCCCCAGTGTGACTGTATTTGAAGATAAGTAGGTAATTAAGACTAATTAATTAAAAAGATGAGCAGGTTAATCGAGCAGGGAATCACGGCTAACTGAGGCCCGAAGGCTGGGGCCCTGATCCGGTAGGTTGGTGTCCTTAGGAGGAGCACTGAGGCGCCGAGCAAAGGGCACGTGGGACACGGGAGACGGCCGTCCGTAGGCCAAGGAGAGAGGCACCTTGGTCATGGGCTTGCAGCCTCTAGAGCCATGCAGAAGAACATTTCTGGCCCTAAGCCCCCCCAGTGTGGGGTTTGCTGACCGCAGTCCGAGCTGCGAACTCCAGGTGCCTTTGGAAGAAAGAAAGGAGGGGCGCCGGGTGGCTTGGTCAGTTGAGCGTCTGACTTCAGTGCAGGTCGTGATCTTGTGGTTCTTGCATTCGAGCCCCGCATCGGGCTCTGTGCTGTCAGTGGGGTGCCCTCCTCTGCTCACACTCTCTCTCTTTGAAAAATAAAGTAAAAACCATTAAAAGAATAAACGAATAATTTAAAATTGCAAGGGGGCTGGTGAGGGTGCTCAGGACCACGTCTGAGGCACAGCCCGTGAGGGCCTGGGGGGGCTCCTCGGGGGAGAGCAGGCAGCGTGAGGCCCGCGGGGCTGGAGCTCTGGGAGACCCTTGTTTGGACACACTCGTCAGGTCCCTGGAGGCGTTCCCGGTGGGAGGAGGGGTGGCACTTAGGAGCACCCTCTGTGTCCCAGGCACTGTGCAGTCCTCTTCTTTTGTTCGTTCGGACCCAGAACCTGGTCATGGTCCCCAGGTGGTCGGCAGCAGAGCCAGGACCAGAACTCCAGTCTGCGGATTCCTGGCCTGTTGCTTTCATCCCTGGCCCCATAGCAAGGGGACAGCATAGACGGGGGGGTGGCCAGACCGCGCAGAAATCAGCCCTGACGGGGACACCTCGGCCGGAGAGCTGCACCCTGGGTCCTGGCCATTGCGGGGGAGCCAGCAGCCCTGCGACTGGCTCTGCCCGTTTAATCAGACACCACAGTGAGCGTGCCCTGTAGGATTAGGAGGAAACACAGGAAATCGAAGAAGCCGTGGCACGTGGGGAGACCTGCTGAGCACGGGCAAAGCCAATAGGGCAGGTTCAGCAAACGGGTCATAACCCTGCTGTTGTCTGGGCACTTTGCTGGCTCTGCCGGGCTGCCGGCACCCTGACCTGCTGCATCCCAGAGCAGGGGGCCCGGCAGCAGGCACTGCCAGGGCTCTGGGCCCCAAATCACGTACTCTCTTAACCTGGCACTTCACCCGCCCACCTGCCCCATTAGGTGTCTTTGTGTTTGATGACCTGGTTTTATTAATTGAAAAATTAATAACAGCTCATAATAAAACACTCAAACAGAATAACACTAGGACTTCACTGAGATCCTTCAACACTCGGCAGAGGCCACCGCTTGGCTGGGAAGCCATCTGGGATGGTGGTGGTATCAGGTACAATGTAGGACCGTGTGTGTGTGTGTGTGTGTGTGTGTGTGTGTGTGTGTGTGTAGGAGGAGGGGGGGCATGCTGTAAGGAAAGAATATGGCTTTGTTTACTCACAAGGATTAGGAATTCAGTGGCAAGTTGTGGGTTCTTGTTATTTTTATGACTTTCTCTGGGTTCTCTTGAATACATCAAGCAACTGGCCTCTGCACATAACAGCTTACAAAACAGTCATTAGGCAGGACACCAAGTACGTGTGAGACCCGAAGGGGGACAGCGTGGTGAGGAGGAGTGATGAGCCCCTCAGAGCCCACAGATGGCCAGCACTCGTCAGACGAGATTCCTCATCCAACTGCCCCATCATTGCACTTTTCCCTGCTTTTCCACTGTTGGTGCGATGAAGCTCAGTCATTTCCTAATCACAACAATCCCTGTTCGGCTTCCTCGGGTGGAAGTTTAGATAAAAGGAGTCGCACGGGTGCGTAGGGTGGAAAGAACTGCTGAAGTGTCCACCGAACCCCACTCAAGCAAGTTCAAGACAAGCAGCTGTGGCGAGGCCCATCCCCCACACGGAGGGGTGACCAGCGGATTCGTCGGCCAGCACCCCGTCCCTTCTCTCTGGCTCTGCGCCCCGGGGGGTGCCCCCGACCCCGCGGACCTCGCTCTTGTCCTTACCAGTTTCTGCCCCTGCGCGTGCCTGCTCCGGCACTGGGAGGACGCGGCAGCCCCTGGGCCCAGCGCGACAGTGTCGCCCGTGCTCTGCTCCCCTCGGCAGACTCTCACGAGCCCCGTCTGTGCATCTGCTCTCTCCATCCTGCTTGCTTCTGAGCACGTGAAAAGTGATTGTGCCTTTTTTCTTCTCCTGAACTCCTCCTTACTCCTTGAAGGTGACACGCTGTGCAGTCGCTCCTGTGTCCTGCCTCGTCCCCCTCCTGGCTGGGCGGGGCTCCTCCCCGACCACGCCCAGGCTGCACCTGCTGATCTTGTACTTGCGTCACTGCTGTTTCTCACCCTTTGTCCCCTGTTTTGACGTTATTAGGTTACAGGTGGGGGAGAAGGTGATGACTCCGTTGCCCTTCAGAAAACTCACCCACACAAACAGAACAAAACTGGACTCTTGCATGGTCCTTACAGCTCACTCCCAAGAAAGTAAGCCTTTTCCTGGATCTTCCTATCTTTTGCTTTTACGTTTTCCCCAGTCTGTACCTGCGGGCAGCACGCACCTTCCCTGGGACATTAGGACCAAGAGGCAAGGTTTCTCCGTGACGCTTCTCCATTTCACCTTCGTTACCTTTGCTACCTATGCTTTTAATTGGTCCATAAGTAGTTCAGTACCTCAGTTTCTTCCCACTTTTAAATTAGTACAATGCTGTAGGCAGGCCACCGTGCAAAAGAAATACTGGTTGTAATAACACACAGAATGGCACACTATACGGTCATGTGCTATTACTCCATTAGTAATACAAGAATATATAACATACAGTAACATATGTTTAGAAACAGTTGAACTGTTGTTGAAGATGAACATAATGGACTGCAAAGACCTTCCTTCCATTGCTCTATTTAACTCTGAGACCAAGAAAGCAATCAGTATTACTTAGAAGGAGGAAGTTATATGTGGAAGAGCAGAGAGGAAAGTTTTGAAAAGATACCAAACTGTCTTTCAGAACTCCTGGTGTAAGAGTATGCTCTCTCTGCCAGTCTGGAGGCCAGGCTCTTCCCGCTGGACTTGTAACGCCCTCCTTCAGATATGATGATTGCCAACCTCCATGTCTGCTTCAGAGAATAGTTTGGATAATTAAATGATATATATGAAAGCACTTTGTAAACTATAAAGTGTGATGCAAACACAGAAAAGGCGGAATGTCAGTGGAGAGAGCAAGGGGCAGAGTGTGCCATGGGCCACGGACCTGGGTCCAAGGTGGCCTCCCATTTACTGGGTGAGTGAGTGGTCCCGAACTGCTTTCTGAGCCTCGGTCCCCTCAGGTTTATGGGAAATCATGATGATAACTGAAAAGAGCCCAGCACACAGTAGGGGCTCAATAAATGCCTTTGAAAAGAGATTAATAGAGGTACCTCCTGGATGTGGCATTTCCCATTTTAAGTGGGTATTGCCGAACAGATTTCACCATGAACTCAGACCGCATAAATAAATCTGTCTGACTTACTGTATTTTCCCTGGGATTTTTCATGAACTGTTTTTTCATGTGCCAATTATAATGCCTGACTTAGAAAACTCTGTCTGAAAGCTCTGCTTTTAGTTTGCAAGGAATAAGACATTTCATAAGGTGGGAATTAATCATTGATGGAGAAAATAGAATAGTTCTGTCCCACAGAAACACACCATAAGCCACAAATGTGAGCCACATGGAATTTTAAATATTTAGTAGCCCTATTAAGAAAAGTAAAAAGAACAGATAATTTGAATGATGGTTATTTAACTGTATCCAAAATGGTATCATTTCAACATGTAATCATTAGAAAAATTATTAATGAGCTCTATATTACATGACTTTTTTGTACTAAGTCTTTGAAGTCCGGTAGGTCTTTTACATTAACGTCATTTGTCTGTTAGGACTAGCTGCATTTCAAGAACTCAGGGTCACAGTCATGGTCATGCGTGGCTTCAGGCTATGGTATGAGACAGTGCAGCGCCAGAGTCCCAGGGAACCGAGCTCTGGAAAGGGACTCACTGACGTTTATTACATTGTTGCATTTAGCAAATGGACTTCCAAGTGCAGAGCCAAAGGGAATTCCCAGATTTATGCAGTATTCCTTGCTCCGTCTTACATTTGCAGCGATACTGGAAGTTTCCAGACCCGTACTCTGCAAATTGTGCCAGATTTCTCCATGACCAACCAGAGCGCAGTGGAGATGCTGGAGCCCCCTCCTGGGCAGGCTCAGTGATCCCCTGGCAAGGCCAGCGTGCGGTGACGGTGCTTCAGTAGCAGTCCCTGGGCTGGGGGGGGGGGGGGGGGGTTGTGGAGCGGTGGAGAGCAAGGTCGCATGGTTTTTTGTGGTGGAGCGATCTCTTATCGGAGGTCAGGAGCACGTTTGAGAAATTGCTGGAGGTTAATACAATCCCCTGAGAAAACACACAGTTGCAGGGTTCTGTGGGGTCCCAAAGCCCATGTGCACCCGCTAAGAGGCGGTGCCCAGAGCCGCCGTGCCCTGCGCTAAGAGCCAGTGCCCAGAGCCGCCGTGCAGTCCACTGGCATCACTACAAGTGGCCATTAATATTATTAATACAGCAAAGTGCTCGGCCTCAGACGTCTCTGACCGGCTTCTCTGGCAAATGAAATGGTCTCCTTTTCAAGAAGCTTTTGCATCCACTGCTCTCCTTCATCTTTCTTAGAGTAGAAATGAAGAAACCAAGACTCAGACCGCTTGAGGCTGGCAGTAGTTCTGGGAGCGCGCTGAGCCACCCCGGCGGCCGGCTCGGCCAGGCCCTCGGGTGCAAGGCGGGCAGAGCAAGGCCCCAGAGGCTCGCTCGTCCGCCTGACGTCCTGGAGCAGGTGTGCTTTGTCTCCTGACGCCCAGCCCCGTGCTCGATCCACGGCGCCTGCGGAACTGCCAGCCGCCGTGGCCAGTGGGCACGTGTCCATGCACGATTCGTAGCAGAAGTGTGAGCACGGAGCGAATTAGGTCCGTCACCTGCAGAACTGCTGGAGACAGCAGTCTGAAAATTTGGACACAGATTCTTCAAGGATTTAGTTTTTCTGAAAACTGATTCATTAGCAAAATAATTTTATTTCCTGTCAACCAAGACTCAGGCACTAAGCGATCCCAGCCGCCTTCCTAGCCACGATTTCTGTTGGCCACGCTTGGAGGCAGTCTCGTTGGCTTCGGGACAGGAGAATGTTAAAATAGAACAGGCTCCGTTCTTAGGGCGGGGAGTGCTCTTCAGGGAGGCCCAGTGGCCCTCTCGCTGTGAGGACGGGCAGGGACGCCCAGAGAAGCCTGGTGACTCTCCGGAAGTGAGATGTCTGCACCTGAGACTCCAGGAGCAGAGCCCGGGTCCGCCGTGCCTCTCTGTTCCTGCGCCTCGTTTCTGCGTTAGCTCACAGGAAGGCCCCTTCAGAGACCCTTGTCCTGCCTCCGGAGACCGCAGGCAGGCCCGGAGCTGGTGTCGGGGGTGGGGCCGGTGCAAGGCTCTTTCCCAGTGAGTCCTGCCTCCCTGCAGAGCTCCGGGACCTGGGGGAAGCACTTTGCTCTTTGAGGCTCCAGAAAAGAAGAATATTTATTTCGCCTCCCCCACCTCGCCAGTGTGGCCATCATGATGATTGAGCGTGAAATCGGCTTCTTTAAGTGCAGATCACTATGGAAATGTTAGAGGGTACTGATCTGAGAGCAGAAATAGACCGGCTGCCCACTTCCTTCCCTGGCTGCTTCCTGTCCCCTTTCTCTCTGCCTTCCTCACTCATGGCCCTGTCTGGTGGTGGTGCTCCCACATGGAGACCAGCGTCTTTCCTGCCCCGCGTCCTCCGGGCTCCTTTCCTGTGCTGCCTGGCTGCAGACCCCTTGCCATCGAACCCGGGGGGCCTGAGGCGCTGTGTCATGAGATCTGTATTCAGCCCTGCTGTTGGCCGCCCGCTTCTCCTCTGCGCCTCCGTTTCCTTTACAGCCGCTCCCTTGGCCTGGCTCGCTCGACACTGGGGCTGGGTCACTCTGCTGTGGGGGCTGTGTGTTGTGGGCTATCTAGCAGCCAAGCTGCTGCTTTATAATAGAGCAGCGGAGTGGGGGTCCCAGTCAGACGGGTGCCACCATGCAGAGTGCTCCAAGATTAAAGAAAATAAGGAGACTGCGATGTTTTCCAGAACCTAGTACGCTCTCTCTGCAGCCATAATACACATGGCCCACCTTCGCGTCATCTTTCCTTCCTGCCCAGACTGGTGAGGGGTCCCCCGGGGCCTCCCCCCCCCCCCCCCCGTGCTTTTCTCATCAGCATACTCGCCGCATCTGATTGTCGTCCTGAGGGCAGGGCTATATTTTATTTAACTTGACCTCCTTGGTGTTTAGTGCACTGCGTGTCATTTAACAGGTGCCCAACATACGTGACGTGACTGAAGCTCTCCCCCAGGCGCAGTGCTTCGCGGTGTGCCAGGCGCTTTCCCGTCTGCCGTCTCCACGGATTCTCACCAGATTCGTGTCCTCTCGAAGAACCTGGAGTTACTGCTTCCCTTTGTAGGGAGCCCGCCTTCGAAGGCGAGAAGCAGGGCCATGGACCTCAAGTCCGGCCTTCCTCCTGTCCCACGCCACTCACGGGAAGAGCCGGGGAGGGGAGTAACCCAAACGTTACTGCTCTTCTGCTCTGTCCTGCCCTGGGCATATTAATAAGACGAAATCAGTCCGCGATGTCTGTTCTCCCTGCGTGTCTGTGTTTGTGGTTAATTGGTGGAATGGATTACGGAATGAATCAGTGAGTTCCTGGAATGCTCCGAGGCCAGTGTGAGCGCTGCTGATCTTAAGTAATCCTGACAGCTTCTTCCTCCAGCCATGTCCTGGATCTCCTGAAAGCCAGGTTTTCTTCTAGCATAATTAGAGCAGTAGGTGACCCAGAAGCAGCTCAGAGCAGAAATAAAATCTTCAGAAAAGACCTGTCTGATTTCATACGATTTTTTTTTTCTCATCTTGTCATTGAAAACAAAGGTTGAAATTTCAAATCATGGGATTCTTTTCTCTTGTAAAGGCCTCTGAGATGGTGAGCCTGCAAGATGGAAGACCTAAAGAACCCTAGAGACAGGGCATGGAAGGAGGAGACATTGGGTTATTAATTTTTCAGCATATACCGTGCTGGTCAAGAATGTTAACAGATGGTAGAAAGGAATCTTGGCCTAAGCACCGGCAGGCGTAGTTTCCACATTCAGTTTTGCAGCCGCTGTTGAGACCTTGGCAGATCGCTTTCTTTCACGTGCCCTCAGTCCTTTCGTTTGGCCATTAAACCCCAAAATAGAACAAGTCGTTTGTTCAAAAGGGGCTGTTAGGCCATCTTTGGCGACCATGCAAAGTCAGAGTCAAAGCAAGTCTCTTTAT